TTGGGTTGATGTCCAGCAGCCGTGCAATGCTTTCCAAGCTCTTGCGCAGTATTACCTCTATCCACACACATTATGGAGCAGAGGCAGGTCTTGCAAGGGTTCTTCCATGCGAGTTGGAGGACGTTCTGCCATACATGCATCTGAGTGATTGCGCAGATTCGTCGATGCCTCCACCTATGGATGACCCTGAGTTCTTTTGCAGGGAAGCAGTTGAGCCTTTGGAGGCACACCGGCCCAATCCTGAATATGATGAGGCTGAACTTTTCCTTTGCCCACTCGAGCCACCAAATCAGGACCAAAGGCACGATGTCAACATGTGCGATCTCACAGGTAGTTTGCATGGCCCAGATCTTAACCATGTGATCCACAATGTCACGGCCGGCCTAGAGGGTGTGATGTCCATCTACAAGCCTTTCGTGGTAGGTCTGAAGCGAGTTGCAAAGCTTTTGTCTGGCAAAGAGTCCAAGCAGCAGTTGCTGGAGACTTGCTTTAGTTCAGGCTTTGCAGTTGGGTTCCAGCAAGAAGTTGCCTCGTTCAAATGTAGCGTTCACGAGAAGCGCTGGAACACCATTGCCTTCTCTGTGAGATCTTTGAGTGAGCTTGAGCCAGCCTTGAGATCATGTTGGGACGTCAAGGTGTATCTCCGGGGTCGCAACATGCCACAGGCCAAGGAGGATCTTGATGGTGATGAGCATGGTGTTCACCTTGCAGGTGCAAACGAGGCTTTGCTTTCTGATCACTGGTGGTCTTGCTTGCACATATTCTTGCAGATTGCGATCGTGCAGAGTGCTGCTACTGAGTATGCAAATGGTTGTGATTGCCACTCAGAACTCCTACGTGAGGAAGTCGGTTCAGATCTGCGTTTGTTGTGGGAATCTTGCCCACTTCGTGGGCGACGGTGTCCGCAACTTGTGGCAGGTGAGTTTTTCACTGTCGTGCAGAGGCTTTTTGATTGCAGCGCTGTAAGGTTAGAGGCAGACTTGCCTCGCAACATGGCCCAGGAACAGGTGCATGAGCTCATGTCAGATTTCGAAGCTGCCAGGCAGTACATACTTTCAAGTTACATTATGAAGTTGTCCTGTTGGGGAGAGGCCCCCCATGCTCTTGCCGGATTAGGCCACCAGGATGCTAATATCAGGTGCAAATATTTGCGAAAGTGCTTACAATCCTCTAGCTCCCACCCTCGTATCCAAGACCTTAAGGCCCATGAAGCGGAGTGCCTAGCGTTTCTTGAGGGTGGCGGGCAGTGGGATGGCAACTTTCCTTTTCTGGCCGCGCTGGCCGCAGAGCTGCGACTGATGTGGTGTAGTCCGTGGAGAGTTGAGGGCCAGCATGCCCGAACAAAGCGAGGCGTGACTCAGGCAAGCAACCATAGGGCAGCTGATGTCAGTTTGTGCCATCGCCTTCCAGACTTGAGGCACTTCCTGAAGCGCGAACCAAGTGGTCTTGCGCAGCTTGCAGAGGCTTTTGCTAAGCTTACTCGGAGGACAACCATTGCGCGTCTTTTGGGCATTTCACTGCCCCATGCAGTCTCAGCAGGCTGGCTCACGGGTAGGCAATCCAACAAAACCATCGCGCTGATATACCATGATGATCCTCATACAGAATACACCTTGTCCCTGCCTAGCAAGGTGAAAGTACAGGGCTGTGTTGAGCTGCCTTTGACCAGAGAGAACAGTAGTGCTGCTCCTGTTGAAGCTCCGCTTGCTTTGGAGATAGCTCTTGCTGATCGTGCGGCTGAGGTGAGGCGAACTCACGCCCTAGAGGCGCTGAAGGGTCTTGTGAAAAACAAAACCTACTACTCAATGCCCCTCAACCCCAATGCTTTCTACAAGCTCCGCACGCTGATTGCCCCAACGTCATCCAGTCCTGAAGTTGTTTCTGGGCATTTGGCGTGGGAACCTGCAGAACAGTTGGCATTGTCATGGCCAACCCTTCCAGTTGATGAAGCTGTGTCTGTTCGGCGCCATTTGGAGGGCGAGGGTGAAGTTTTGACCAAGGAAGCTATTTTTTGGTCGGTTGTGCATTCCCAGCCCGCACGCTTCCACCGTACAAGAGTTGGGGCAGAAGCATCCTTGGCTGGTGTTTGGATTGTTCAGTTGCATAGAATCATGCGCATGGATCCTAGCAGCCGAGAGGCCTTAGTTTCCTTGAAGGCAGCATTGCCAGCATCTGTAACAGATCTTCAAGATGCTGGTTTAGCTATGCATGTGAACCAGATGACCCTACAGGAGTTGCGGAATGTGCGTGCGTGCCATGATTCAGCAACCAGAAGGCCTGGTGGTCACCGCAGACATGAGTCGTGACATGTTAGAGGCTCTCGATACCTTAGCAGCAGAGCGGGTGGTTGAAGGACCGCCGTGGCAGCTAACAGAAGTGGCAAAGGAACGCGTGGAGCAGTGCGTGCTCTTGCGCAATGAGGAATCGCTTCTGCAAAGGTGTGCGGGGGAACTCTCTGAAGCATCCACATATCAATTGATCCTTGAGATGGATGCTCAGGGATGGGTTCATGAGATTGTCAGCGTCAGAGAGTACAGAGACATGAAGCGGGCCCAGGCAGCTTACAGGCATGGGGAGCTCAAGGTTTGGCGTACTTGTGAAATGCATTCATCCGTCTCTAGGTACTACTTGTTGGCATTGTTGCTGAAAGGTCCCGAGATGCCTGTTCCCCACGTTGCAAAACAGGAAACATACATGAAGATGCTTGGCATTTCCTTGGAGGATAGCGGGCAGCTCAACCGAGGCAGGAAAAGAAAACAATTCCAGCACACAAACGAAGCTGACTGGCCAGTTCCAGCTGTTGATGTGCCAGCGAATCGTGCTTCCCGCCCGCGTAGGGCTCAGCCTGAGCCACACGGGCCTTCTGTTCTTGCGGAAGCCCCGCCTGCTGAAATTGCAGTCCCGGTGATTGAAGATGATCATCATGAGGATGGGGTAGAAGAGGCTGGCGAGGCGGATGCCAGCTCCGACTCAGACGGGCTCTCCTATGGCACGCAGCGGTACAGCCCCTCGCCTTGCAGAGAAAGAGGCCCTGAACGTGGCCAATCAAGTTCAAGCAGCTTCCTCGAGTTCTTCTTCCTCCGGCTCCGCACCAGACCGGCCAGCGCCTGCTGCTGCTCCTGAAGCAAAGCGGAGAGCAGTGCGCAAGGGTGTAGCCATCAAGTGGGGTCCACACACGCTGACGCCCAAAGGGCCTGTTGACAACCCACAACATTGGCAGATAACTTGCGGGATCCCAGGCCACAGTGCAGGCAAAGCTTGCACAAAGACAAGGTCTTGCAGGTTTGGCGGAAGTGACAGGGTTCAGCTGATGCTGAAGTGGTGGGCAGTCCTTGGCAAGGATGTTGCAACTGGCAGTGATCATTCAAAGATCTTCAACGATAGAGTGTTGCCAGCTCATAATATTGATGCTTTGCCTTCAATGGAGGAGGTGGACAACTTGCTTGCAGAAGGGTAGGCTGTGGTAGGCTGCCAACAAGCTTTTTTCGAGTGCGATGCATACAATTGGCCAGGCGCTGGCAGGAGGCATGGATGCCTGATCATGTGCGCCATGCATTGTGCCGGGCACTGACAGGGTCTACCCCTACCTGTTCATGTGCGCTGTGCCTGTTCGTGTGTGCCGCTTGGGGAAAGGCTGAGGCTTTCGCTCTCTCTCTCTTCGTAGAAAGTGTGCAAAGCAGCGGCAGCAGAGGCGTAGAGGTTTGACTGAGCTTTCACGCGCATGATGTCTAGCACTTCCGAATTCCAAGCGGCAGCGGAGGGCCAAGGAAAGAAAGGGTGGTAAAGGGCAGCTTTGCAGGGATTGGCTCCACTTACTGGGTAAGGTTGTAGCGATGGCTGGGCAATGAGGGTGCGCTAAAGCTTCCGGAGCTCTGTCTGTGAAACCTTAATGGCTGTCAGGCTGCCTGGCTGTACTTAGGGGATTCAGGCCCTAGCAAACTTGCGAGAGCGAAATGTGTCCCAAAGGCCCGAATTGCGCTGATTTCTTTCATTTAATTGTTTTTGTAAAGATTTTCAGGAATTTGCGATGAATTCTGAAATCTTTGATGTCCTCTAAATTCCATTATTTTTGTGTAGATAATTAAAAACACCAACAAAAGCCTTTCCGGGCTGGGGCGCTTTTCGTGCATTTCGTGCGCTCTTCGTGCGCCCATTTTACCCTCGAGCAAATTTAGCTGTTTTGGGGCCCAGAACCCATTCCAGGCCTAGTTTTGAAGCTAGAAAACCTTCAACCTGGCTTCTTTGCCAAGGGGCTGAGAGCTGGTTTTGCTGGGTTTGGCTGGGTTCGGCTGCTCTAGAGGGCCATAAGTTCTCGAGGGTCAAAGGCGAATTTCGTGCACTTTTCGTGCACTTTTCGTGCGCTCCTCCGGGGCGGCCCTGGGGAGCTGCCTGGAGCAGAAAAGATCCAAAGAATAGGATTTACGCCTAAAATCGCTTTGACGTTGCGATTGTTCATGTATTGTGCAAGTTTGGAGACGCTTGTGCGCGAAAGGGATTTGTACATGCTTGCCATAGCTCACGTCTCATGGTTTTGCTTTCAAGCTCTTCTTTCCCACGTCTTGCGCATTCTACGCAGGGTTTCCTTGCAGTTCACGTGCACAAAGTGCGCGCTGTGCAAAACTGAGCTTCAAGCATGCGTTATCCCAAAACTGTTGACAGTGTGGCCCATGGCGGCCGCAAAGGGACTGCGCCTTGCAAGTTCTCCTTTTCCAAGAAGCAGTTGTCTGAGCATTGTTTGACATTCATGCTGAGATGGCTTCAGGCGCTTGGGTTCAGGGCACATGTTGGCTCCAAGCAAAGTAACCATTCATTCATCCGGGAGCAGATGCGGACAGTCTAAGCTGATTTTGAAACATGTAGTTGATCCCACACTCTCTGTAAAACATGTCAACTTCGCAGCACAACTTGACCCAACTGTATCATCCAGGATATGGTAGGACTTCAGCTTCAAGTTAAGTAGCGTTTGCGTTTTGCTGCCCAACATGCAAGGCGATGCGGTGAGTCTTTGCTGCCCGGGGGGTTACAGATTAGGTAGGTCAACAGATGACAACTATGACAAAGCAAAGAGACGGAAGGTGAGGCAAGGCTCTTTGGAAGATGTCTTGGCGTCACAGCATCTACCACCAGGGCCAGCATCTTTACACGAGCTTCTCTGCTTTCCAGAAGACATGCTTGCGCGTGTGTTTGCCGATGGCAAGTTCAAGAGTAGTGTCATGCGCCTCTTGGAAGGCGGGATCATTGAAACATCAGATTATTCTGGTGTGTCTGCCGCAAGAGAAGCCACTCGCCTCCTCTTGCAGGCAATCCTTGCTCACACAGGGCAGGAGATCCCGTGCAGAGTGAGAAGAATGTGTGATGTGGATAAGACTTCGCAGCATGTCTTGTTGCACCTGTCACGGACTCAAGATTCTGGCGAAGCCTGCGTCTTCCCAGATATACGCCAGCAGTTGCACTTGTCGGCCCAGAAATTCTTGGAGTCATGTGCTCCAGCTCCTGGAGCCAGCAGTTTAGAGCGGATGCAATGCTATGAGGAGATGAGTCAGTGGCTTGATGAAAATGGCTCATGGGCCGTTTGCCAGGACCGGAATTTTTCAAAGTTCTGCGCAGTCACACATTTTTGCTCGTTGCGGCGAGTCATTGCAACTTCTTGTTCTAGCTGCTGTTTTAGCTTGCAAGCCCTGCCATCGAACTCATGTCTGCCTGCAGGATCACAGGACGCACTGCCTCCAACACGGCCAAGACTGCGTTGTTAATGCCCGGCGTGATGATGACAAGGTCTTGATCATCAACGAAGTACGCCCTTGTTCCCGGTAGAGACAGTCTTATGCGACCCACTGGAGAAGTCCCACCATGTTGTGTACATTACCAGCGGACCACGTGTTCACGGTTGGCCATGCTCTAGGGAACGGCTCTTATCTGCTGGTTTGAGCCTTCAGGAGCTGGTGTGGGTTGGACCCAATACCACGGAAGAGATCCAGAGACAATTCGATTGTCTTTTTGCGAAGCGGTGTGTTGTGTCTGGACAGCTCTTTTTCCAAGCAGACGATGCCTCTATCGAAGAATGGGCAAAGGCACGTGCGCGCAAAAGGATGCGTGTTCGCTCAAGTCAGGATTTGGTAGGCCCAGGTCTGTGGCAGGATGTCTTGACACCAGCTCAGTTGCAAAGGATCAACAATTATCGGACATTGCAACTGCACAGAGCCAGCCTCGATGATGGTTGCTTCATCGTTGATGCCGATCACTGGGCTCACTCGCCAGGTCCATCGAGCGGACCGCATTTTCCGACCTTATTGCGCCATGGGACGATTGTAGATCTTGGCTCCGGTAAGGTTGCGATGGCAGATGATCGTTGGCTGTCCTTAGGCTTCAATGTGCGGCGAGATCTCGGGTCTCCGTTCAGCCACTGGCCCGCCCATGGTTGTGTCAAAGACTTGAGCGACCGAACCCAACACTCCTTGAGCGGCAATTCGCAATCCCTGCCTGCAATTGTTGCATGGCAATTATATGTCTTTGCCAATGTTGTCCGCCGGGAAATTCCTCAGGTCGAGGGGGCCTTGCTTCGACCCAGTAGCAATGAGTTTGCTGATGGGAAGGATGATGATGACATGCCACTGTGATTCTTACCAAATGTTTAAGTTGTCCTTCGGTAGCTTCGCATACGCACCAGACTGAGCGCAGAGGGGCTGCGCTACATGCTTGTGAAGCCGGTGAAGCCAAAGTTCCAAAGCCCAAAGCCTGCGTCAGTTGCTTCTGTGCGCGGCGTGCAGTGGAGTCATGTGTCAATGTGATGTTTCTTGTGCTGTCAGTGCTGTCCTGCTTGATTTGCCAGGAGTTCATGTTACTTTGCCAGCTTCATGAACATGAGCATGTGTGGGTGCGGGATTGCAGCACTTGGCTGGCTGGACATAAGTAAAGTTTGACTGTTTGATTGCGCAAGCATGGCTGGCCGCTCACGCTCTCCAGTCCCCAGAGCACGTCACGCTGAAGGTGAAGTGCCAGCTGAGGTGGGGTTGAGTTTAGTCTAGTTGATCAATTTCAATTTTGGTTGATGTGTTGTTTCTTGGGAGTGCTTGATTCGGCGTGCAAGTGAGCAGTCCATGAGTTCCAAGTTGATGCAGGTTGGGAACGAACATGGACTGATGATTGTTCCATCTCCTCGTCCTCAGAGATCGTTTGAGAACCCGGCGGGTGGCAATGTGGTACCTGCTGCTCAGCAGAATGGGGGCCCTGGCCCAGACAGGGAGCAACCTTTGATAGCAAGGTATGGATCCCTCCTCCCCAAGTACTACAAGTTCTTGGAGCAGCTGCCGCCTGACGCCCTCCCAGTCACCCCACCTGCTTCGAAGCATCTGTACCACATCACTCGAGGCTACGATGCGGCCAGGATCAACATCACTGTGTATCTGAAGACGAGTACCATCATAGTGAACCACCCCCGCAAGGACCCGTGGAGTACCGCATCGAGCACGCCAGATTGGTGGACCAGCTACGGCTTGGATTCGCGGAAAGGCCATTGCGATTGCGTGGGCGGCGGCTCCTCGTGAGGAAGGTGGCCAAGAGCCTGGGCGTGAGCAGCTCCTGAAGGTTGCGCAGCAGGTTTGCGAACAGCTGTCGTGACCTCCTCGGTGAGCACGGTGAGAAGTGAGAAGAATGGCAACGTGCCAGTCATGGGTGCGCTGACAGATCAGAGCAAACTCTCTCTGCTGTCCCAGTTTCTTCTTCAGCTTAGGGTGTGAATTGCGCCAGGCAAGGGGAATAGCTAAGGCGGCCTTTGTCAACAAATCTTGTGTACATGTAGACCATAGACCGTACTGACTTGTTCAAGCGTTTCATTGGATTTTCTGCGCAGGCAAGCTGTGCAATAAGGTCCGGTGATGTCAGATGCGTTTGTGAGTCTGCAGTCTGCAGCAAAAGCTCGCCGCTTGCCACCAAGGTCATCTTTCTTTGCCGTGATGTGCATGTGGCATGTTGTCTAGAGACTAAGTTTCAGGCAGGTTAGGTCAGGCATTATGCTAAACATGAGTTCACGTGCCTTGATCTTGTGCTTGAAGTTGCGAATTGGGAATGCTGCCTGTGAATTGAGGTTCTGCTCAAGAAGCCTGTGAAGTTTGGTTTGTGGTTGCACTGCTTGTCGAAGCATTATGGAGGAAGACCTGTTTGCTCAGGAAACCGGTGCCAGTCCAGATTGGCAACCAGCCTGATGCAGCCCAGGGGTCAGGGCAAGAGCAACCCAAAAACAAAGGAAAAGGGCGTGGCCGAAAGACGGGCGGCAGCGGGGAAGGTTCCGGGGGCAGAGGACGTGGAGGTCGTGGCAGGGGAAAGGGAGAGGGAGGTCGCGGCAGGAACATGCCGGTGACACTTTGTATATGCCCGGGCTGTGTATTCAAAAAATACCCCGGCAGCCGATTTTGCGCTGAGGCAGACCACAAGAGAGGATACGATAATCTCCTTTACCAGAGAAAGGCTAGGCGGGACTTGTCGCAAGAAGATCGTGACAATTTCGACAATGCAATGCGCTCAGACGAGTTTGCCGGTAAGACCTTCAAAGAGTTCTGTCAGGACAACCCTCCTGAGCTTCGTAGGAAGAGCCTTGTAGACTTCAGTCAGTTCAGCCGCTCAAAAGGCATGCGTGTCAGTGCCGGCCAGCAGAGCGGGAGCACCCCAATGACAGAGAGAGCCTTCTACCGCTACACCGAGAACATCCTTGGACTTTCAGCCGAAGAATCCAAAGAGCTTCTTGGCAGTGCATGGGCATAGTCTCAACTCTAAATCCCCCTTAGGGGCGCTGACATATCTGAGCCGCAAGATC